CTGTCAATTGGCATGTCAAAGTGTCTCTCGATTGGCATCTTGACAGTTTTCGATTGGGCATTTAAATCCTTCGATACAAGCTTGACTCACTAGTCTTCAATTGAGTGCTGGACCCCCTTCGATCAAGTTTAACTTACAAAAGCTCTGATTCATAAGGCTCCCTCTCCAATGGACCTTCGATTCATAAAACAAAGGCCCCTTTCTACTTGCCTTCAGCGCACAAGGTAAAAGGCTTCTTTCGACTTGCCTTTGATGCACAAGGCAAGAACCCCCTACTAGTGTGTTTTGATTCATCAGGCCAAAGGCCTCTTCATGCTTGCCTTGGATTCACTAAGACAGAGACTTACTTTGTGCTTGCCTTTAATGCACAAGGCCAAAGACTCCTCGACACAGTTTCTGCACTATGGCACACAATATGGCCCCTTCGAAAGAGCATTCCAAAGGTCCATTCGAAGGACACACATTGGAGAGTCATTCGAAGAAGGCACAAAGCATGCATGTGGTCCCTTTAAAAGAACACACACATTGGTTTAAAACTAAGAATACACAAAGGGCCCATTCGAAGGATACTTTGATGGGAAACACATATTGTTGTCTAAAAAGGGGGTCTGGTCGAAGGATGGATCTAGTTGGTCAAAATGAGAAAAATATTCAAAGAGGCCTGCTGGCCAAAAATCTAACATACTGCCACTTTCAAACCAACACGCACAAGCATATTCATGCCAAAGGAAGCTTCGACTGGCCAGGTTGAAGTCTTTCGATTGGTTTAGTTGGTTAGTGTCAGAGCCAATCGAAGAACAAGGCAAATATGGTCTCAACCGAAGGCCACAATGATGAGGTATGGGGAAATTCCAAAGAAGGTGGGGGGGCTCCTACAAAGCCTTTGATTTATAGAGAGCTGAAGCAACCTTCGACCAGTTAGAAAGGGAGGGTTGATGTTTCGATTGGTTTGAGTTGAAAGAAAGCCATTCAAAGGAAGTAACAATAGGCCAATCGAAGAGCAACGCTGGAGGGCATCCGAAGGAGCCAAATGTGTCTAGGTTCATCCTAAGGCTCAAAGGGGCATGGATATTTTAAAAAAAGTAAGTCTTTTAATGTGTCTGATTTTTGTCTCATGGCTTTCAAAGCCATGGTTAATGGCTTATTTCTTGTCGTTACTATCACACGCCTATAAATAACAGGCCTAAGGCATATTGCAAATGGGGTGGAAAAATCATAAAAAAAGAAAGAAGCACTCTTGCCACACTAACACTACCAACCAGATGCTGCATCACACACAATACTTGTTACTGATCGAAACTGCAGGCTGCCTGCCCATAGAAACGTTCTTGGCCTATACACGCATCAGCCAGGAGAAAACCCTGTCTCCAGAAGGTGTCCCTAAGCACTTTGCAAGCCATCTCCATCTAAAATAAAGCATCCCATTGGTAGAAAACCTTCGATATTAAACTAATTTTGATTTGTTGCATGACATATTAACATTTATAATTCAAGATTAAGGACTTGGGTTCGACACCCAGGTCTGTGTTTGTTTTTTTTCTAACATTTGTTGCAGATCCAGCCTGAACAAGCCAACACGCACATGATCGAAGGACCTGGGTTTCGATACCCAGGTCCTGCATTTTTATTTTGCTAATATGTCTTTGTAGATTCAGTACCCTCACAGGTGATCCATCAGGCCCTTCCAACAACGCCCTCCGAATAGAAAGCCACATCTTGTCACTGGATCGAAGGGTAACATCCTTCATAGAATCGAAGGGCAACTTCCCTCCTGGATCGAAAAATCCCATCTTTCCCTGGATCGAAAGGAAGCTTCCCTCCCGGATCAAAAAAGCCCCTTTTCTCTCTGGATCGAAGGATGCCCTCTTTGTATCTTTATTTTTGTTTTCATTATTTCTCTTGTTAAACTAACCATTAAATCAAAATCACAAAAAAACATTAGGCTAGTATTTTATTAATCAAATTAAATTTTGTTAATTAACTAATTAATTATTTTAACATTTTCCTTAATTTAAAGTTAAATAGACTTAAGTTTTATTTTCTTTTATAAGTAAAAAACAAACAAAAAGATTTCCTTTTACCTTAGGATTTTTAGACGTTCTTTTTAATTTGTTTGCGCGTTTATTTACTTTTACATTTTTCAACTTATTGTAACTGCTCACAGGATGTAATAGCAATTAACTAGGACTTTTTATCGCTTTCCTTTACTTTTCCAAAATTTGGACATGTAATTAATCCCCAAAGCCCTCTAATAGCATAGATTTAACTTTCCGCACTTTAAATTCCTGTACATATATTAACTGTTAGATGTATGTTAATAGGAATGCATGACAAGAGCTTAATAATTAAACGATTAGCAAACTTAACACAAGACTAAAATAACTGAATATAACACACCATGCACATATACACCTCTAGGATACCCCACTTCAGTTGCCTTCGAAAAATAGTCACAACTCTCAAAACGTGAGAGGTTTTAGTGGCTGCCCCCTGGTTCAAAAAGATCATAATTCCCTCGATGATCCGCTCGACATTGCCTCAGAAAAAATATGATCTTAGAACCCCAAGGTAGTTACTAAAGCTTCTTTCCCAGTTGCCTTTGTAACTATAAAAACATCTATTTGAATATCCCTCATACATCCAACGATGGGGCTACGTACTCACTAATAGAAGGATAGCGTTGTCTAAATGATAAGGAGAAAAAGAATAAACTTTTTCGAGTATAAGTAGATAAGTTCTTAGATGCTTGCTCAAAACAACCTTTTGCACCTACACAAAAACATTTCAAAACAACTTTCAAAAATATTTTCTTTGTCAACACTCTTGAGGACTGATACAAGAGTTATCATAAAGCGAATAGCCGCACTAAGGCATTTTCAAAACAATTTTCAAAATACATAAAGCACAAGTAATTTTCAAAATGAGCTAGCATCTAAGAGTCTGTAGATAACTACGAATGGAAAGGGTGCTAACACATCCCCTTTCTATAATCTACCCTTCTTACTCAAAATTCTCGAAAAGGTCTTTTTCTGTTCTTTTCACCCTTTCCTCAATTTGGATAAAAGAAAAGTCGGTGGCGACTCTTGCTTACCGCGACATTTGTGAACACAAAATGCAAAACCGGTATTAACAGTTGGTTCTGCCACCGTATCACATATACATTAGGTTTAGGTTTTCTCCTTTAAATACACATATGCAGTCCATGGGCTTTAAAATCTGTATCTAAATATTTCTTGATCCATAAGCTGACTTATGCACCAATTGTGCATCAAAATCTTCTTAAATCTTAGAACAAACAATACCAAGTTTCCTAAATTGAATCAAGGCCCAATTTAATAACTTATGTACAACTTGAGATGCAAAACTTGTTCTGGATTAAATCCTCTTGATCTACGAAATTTACTGAGATATATCAAAAAAATATCACATAATCAAATCAAATGTGTCAAGATTTAAAACAACAACGCCTGTTGTACTAAACCAAGATGTCATGACATCTGATTTGATATATGGTTGAAAAACTCAGAACAACAAAACTGTTATGACAGTTGATAAGAATGCTGCAACAACTTGATCAACATCAGTATAGAACCACGTTTTACCAAAATTTAATCAATCATAAAATCATAAAACTAACAATATCTATGACCTAGATCGAATGTGAGGCTTTATCTTACTTAACCTTTTGACAAAATAAAACAACTGGTGTCCCACTCATAAATTCATGATATTATAATGTGTTTTCTTTCTCTAATTGAAAATATAATAATAATAATAAAAATTAATACAATTAATAATTAGTAAGTATTGTTTTTTTAGTTAAAAAAATTATAAGTAATAATGTTGTAATAATAAAAATTGACACATAAATAGTTGAGAATTTCTTTTTTCACTCTATAGTGAATTTTTTTTTACGTAATTTCTAAAATGCCTCTTAGAAATCGGAAATATATTTTCAGTGCGCACCATGCACCACATACAAACAAATTAAATGTAGTCCCATCCTATTTAAAAGACAAAAACCGAATGTAAAATATAAATTTAGGTACAAATCGGAAATTAAATTTCAGTTTTAGCCTGTATTTTTATCAAATTTTAATACGTCTTGAAAATATATTCTGATTTTCAAAAATATTTTTGTAATTTCGTGCTGTGCGTTAAAAAACTATAAGATAGAAAAAGAAATCTTCAAATTGTTGGGTAGACCGTAAAATGCTTTGGAATTGATTTTGGAGGCCCAAAATGGCCTTTTAGCAATAGCCCGTAATTGTTTTTGTGGGCGTATCTCAAAAACAAATAAGCTTCCGTTTTCTCTTTCCATTTTTGAAGGTATCTGTGCCTCCCAAAAACCTTTCTCTAAACCCTAAAATTTTCTCTGCTGATTTTTGCAACTGGTTCAACGTAGAAAACGGTGAGTCCTTACATGCTTCCCTTTTCCTTTTCGCTTTTGTATTTTAATCCTAATTCGTATTTTTCGTTGCCACAAAGTTGAAAGTTATGCATGTTAAACTGTTTGATGTTGAAGATGTTCGGTTCTACTCCATTTTTAATCTGTGCTATTATTGTTCGGTATCATTGTTTGTTTTACGAGAGCCAGAAAAGGGTATTCTATTTTGAGCTGCTAGGTTTCAGTGATTACAAACATGGTTTTAAATTGCCGGTGCGGTTGCTGATGTGGTTGTTGCGGTTGTTGCGATTGCAGTAGCTGCAATGCGAACTGCGGCTATTGTGGTCTGAATCTTGATTGGGCGGTGTTTGAAATACGGTTGAAAAACTTTTAAAATTAAGATTTTTCACTACATTTAAGAAATAATGAAACGAACTAAAATTAAGGTTTTGAATGTTATGCATTTCCCTTACATATTTGCTGTTGAATTTTTTCGTTTGATTTTTTTAATTTTCTGTTTATCTTGTTTTTATATTGAGAACTACAGTTTTGCTTGGCAGCTTGCATTATTTTGTTTTATGATTTGTTACCATTGATATTTGTATAGATTGAAATGGTGGTGCCTTTGGTTAATGATGATCCAATGATTGACAATGAAACTGAAGATTCGGTTGAGGTGCCGTCAGATTCAGATTCAGAAGAAGATGTAAAATTAGCTGAACCCTCAAAAACTGCAGTGAACAACAGAGAAGCGATATTAGATAAACTTGGAGACATAAGCTGGCCCGAGAATGTGGATTGGAAGCACAAGCTCTCCATTGATATTGATCAAGAGCAAGAAGTAGATGTGAACGATGACTTGGCTCGAGAGCTATCGTTTTACACACAGGCATTGGAGGGAACTAGGCAAGCCTTTGAGAAGCTTGAGTCAATGGGTCTCCCTTTCTTGAGACCTGCCGATTATTACGCAGAAATGGTGAAGGCAGATAGTCATATGGAAAAGGTGAAAAGTCGGCTGTTAGAAGAGAAGCGGAAGATGGAAGAGGCTGATGAGAGAAGAAAGGCTAGGGAAGCAAAGAGATTGTCCAAAGAGATTCAGTCACAGAAATTGAAAGAAAGGGCTAAGCAGAAAAAGGAAGACATTGAGTCTGTTAAGAAGTGGAGGAAGCAGAGACAACAAAGCGGGTTTGCTGACGGCGGCGATGGTCCAGATAAGGCTTTGGGCTTTGAAGATGGAAAAGTGTTTGAGAGATCAAAGAAAAAAAGGCCCGGAGTGTCTCCAGGCGATCGTTCAGGAGGTAAGGCAAAGCAAGCCTTTGGAAAGGGATCGAAGATGCAAAAGAAAAGAGATACTAAGAATTCCAAATTTGGTTTTGGAGGCCGGAAGGGATCAAAGAAGCAGAATACAGCTGACACAACTAATGATTTTGGTGGATTCAGTAAGGGTGCTGGTGCTGGAAATAAGAAGAGGAAGAGATAAACATAATCTTCTATTGATTTGTTTTCTCACAAAAGGGATGTCATGGAATGTTTGTGGCCATGGCTTATTTTCTGGAATTTTCACCAAATCTGCAGTTGTATGTCCTACATAGATTATGGTAAGTTGTTAAACTTTATTGGCAGTTATAGATTCTTATATATCTACTCCAATTTTGATGTTTTGTTATACAATTTGTTACTTTGTGCTGCTCATTACCGAAAGATTTGTGGTAGCTCTTTTAAGCACACTAGCCAATGTAATGTAGACATATCTAGAGTTTTTATGTTATTTACTTATCAATTGACCACTTTTTTTTTCTCGTATTTGTTTATCGGAAGACTGATTTTGGTGCATGTCCTCCTTCTCTTTTTGCTTTAAGAAAGAAATAATTCAATGAAATTAAAATGTTCTCATATTTGTGGTGCCAAAATTTCTTATCACAGTGTAGTATACAATGGCAATGCCAAGGAGGAAACAAACAGGATTGCATTAGAGGTGCAATCATGCTAAAATTTCTAATCATCCTAGTTCTTCAACTCTATTTTGAGCGTATTTTTTGAAAATGTAATAACCATAAAGATTAATACTCCAGATTATAGATTACGCACTTGCTAGACACATGGCAAAATGGCAAGTAAAATATCTCCAATGAGAAAGGAAAAGCTTTGTTATTTACTGAGTCAAACAACGATAGAGGCCAAGTTAGCAGACTCGAAAACAGACTATCATTTTTTCTTTCTTTTGGTTTATGCATTAACATACTCCACCATTAACATTAAGCAAAGGATAAGTTAAATTTTAATTTCATTTAGTATTGTAATGTAATTTTCTTCATGAGAACGTCTGTTGTCAACATTGAAACAAACATGCATCAAAAGGCAAGTAAAAATGTGTGTATCAAAGAGTTGTTGATCAATAGAGAGTTGCTGATATAAAAAAACAACGATTTAGATTATATGATTATGTAATGATGAATTCATGTTTTTTACTTATAAATTCTGGTATGGACAAGGGATGTAAACTTTATCTATATCCACAAATATTTACCCATAACTGTTGCCACATGACAAAATTCTAGGGGATGAATTTTCTTTCTCAAGTCCTAGTATATTATTAGAAAACTTTGCATGTTTGTTTTAATTGAGAAAATTTTATGTCGTAGATTGCTTATTTTACACACTATAGTTTAGTTTTCAACATTTTATAAGAAAAAGATAAATTATAAGTCATATCGTTTAAATTACATATTTTGGTTAGTTTATTTCATTAGATAAGAAATGCACATATTTCACATCAAAACAAATCAAAAATTATTTTTGAATTTTTTGTTCCTCACTCTCTTTACTATGCTTTCTCGAGTATTTTTTTGAATTCTTTTTGGAGAATAATTTGGAGTGACTAACAATCATTAATGAATTCTCTTTTGAGAAATATTTGAAATTCTTTTTGTTTGAGAATTTCTTTAGAGTGATCTTTGTATTATAGATGACATGTTTTTTAGACTGAATACCTATCCTGCAACTAGTAATCGTACAATTGAGCTGAACTGTCTTATCCTAGGACAATGTTGTGAAATGTCTTTAACAAAGCGATTTAGTTCCCAACTTCATCCCGTAATTTTTTGTGACAATTTTTTCAAAGTCATAAAACAATAATTTTCGAAGCGAACTGTCATGGTTGCCGAAAAAATTATCGAGACTTCTGCTATTGTTTATGAAAAATTATTCAAGTTTAAAGAAATGCATTCCAAATGTTGACATCAAAAGATGCGATTTTTTAACCATAAAAAGATTGTCAATGTTCTGATCGATGAAATTCCTATTGTTTTTTCTAGAATAATCTAACAAACTAATTGGAAGAAGTCTTTTGATTCAAAAGGAATGATTAATTTTGATGAATCTGAATATGTTACACAAATTAAAGAAAAATAAATACAACTGATGAAAGAAACCACCTTATGGAAATCGAATGGTTATCTTTGTAAAAATCATATTCTAAATGGAGTCACATATGATCGGTATGATTATTATCGTAGATGCGATACTACAAAATAGATTTGGGAAACTTTGAAAAAAGAAGTATGATACCGAGGTTACTAAAGAAAAGAAATATGTTGTTAGTCGATACATAAAGTATCTAATGGTAGATGGAAGGTTCGTGAAAGCTCAATGTCATGCAAAAAATTGTTCATGAGATCACCACTAAAGGCTTGTCTTTAAATGAACAATTTCAAATTTATTTTATTATTGAAAAATTGGCCATTAGTTTGAAATATTTTTAAAAAGTTGCTTCTCCATTTTTTTAAAATTGAGTCTGAAATTGCTCTGCTTCCTAGGATTTGACCTAGTTTATAATTTGTTGCTCATCAATTTAGTCTTTTGGTTTGTTTGTCGTGATTGAGTCTCCTTACATAGTTGTGTATTCTAGTGTTGAGTGCTAAAATTGTTTTTACGTATGCATCAATCAAACTATTTGCTCAAAGTAAACGCAATATGATTATATTCAATTAGTCAGCATTTTGGATCAAGAAACACATGGAATAATGATTCAAATCGTGCCAAGTTTCGATTTAAATAAGCACTTTATTTTTGTTACATTTTGAATTTTTGAAGAGTGGATCTAATTAAGGATTGAATTACTCGGATCAAAATTGCATGAGAAAATTAGAAATTGATCATGTGTGTTTGATTTGAATCATGAAAAAGAGTGACTCGAATCTGGAGGTCTTAAGAAGCCCCAAGCAGTATTTTTTGACGTATGAAAGTGCCTTCTTTGGCTTGCTTGATTTGTATTCCCAAGAAATACGCCAGCTCTCTGATAAGAGACGTCTCAAATTCATTGCATGACACTAGCAAACATCTTGACAAAGAGATTTGTTAGTAGAACCGAAAATAATATCATTGATAAATGTTTGAACTAGAAGAATATACTTTTATTATGAAAAAAATTTAACGCACAAATTATTTAATACAAGGTGAATTTGATGAAAAACATTTTAATACAACTAAATCATTATTTTGATGCAAATGAAAAATAGTTTCGATGCAAATGGGAAAAAGACTTTAATGTATAGGAAAAATAATTTTGATGCATACGAGAAAAATAACTTTAATGTCCATGTTGCAAACAAGGCAATTAAATGCAACTACAAGAAGATAAAGGAGAATGAAACGATCATACAAATACGATGATCTAGGACTAAATTTTCTGCATAATTAAAGTTAGCAAAAAAAAAATACTAATATAGCAAAAAGAATACAATACGATAAAAAATATGATTGAATACATTTTTCTTCACTTGTCTTCAGAAACCACAAAGATTCCTAGACACTCATGCACAAAACATCAATAGATAAAACTAGGTACCCAATTTTAATTGGGTCTTTTAGGGTTAGTTGAGGTACACTTAGGAAATCTATACCATTTTATCATTTGGAACCTGATGTGGCATTGATGTCTAATGTGTCCCTTATCACCACAATAATGACAAACTGTCTTAGATGAAATGTTTCTTCTATTTCTCCCAGTGTCACAAGGTTTTTTTTAATGAAAATAGTCCCTCTATCACTTGAAGAACATGAGTTAATTTTCCTTTTAAACTTTCAATTTCAAGTTTTAAAATTGGACATTCAACACATTATATCTCTTCCACCCTTTAAATTAAAGTATCTGAAACATTATAACGCCTATCAACTAAAGATGTATGTGCGTATTTTAAACAATATAAAGAACTATTAAAATTATTTATATCATGTTCAAGTGTCATAATAATTTCTTTTCGGAGAGAAATATTCTTAAAAGTGTTTATAGAATCCCCATACATGTCATTAAAAGCTTGCGATAATTCGCTATAAGAGTAGTCATTATCAGAATCATAATTATATACCTTTGACACACTCATCATCTAAACTTGAGCAAGAATTATAGGAGGAGCTCTCATCGTCTTCTTCCCACACGATATAGGCTATACGATCTTTGGAATTCCTTCCTTTCGTCTTGTAGACTTCCTTATATTATTTCTTATGATGTTTGGTGAGACTTGTACATGTAGTTCTACAGTGTTCTGATTTACCACAGTTGAAATAGGTAACATCATCATCCTTTTTCTTGTGTTCTTTTTTTAACGAGTGAGTATTTATAAAATGTATTAAGCCTTTGTCAGAATGTTTGAACTTGTTTCTCTTTAGGTATCTATTGTAGCGTTTGACGAATAAACCCATCTCTTCTTACTTAGAAGCTTCTTCATCAGAATCATCACTTTCTTCCTTTGGTTTACTAGCTTTTGATGACGAAGCCTTCAAAGAGAGATCTCGTTTCTCTTCTTTTACTTTCTCTTTCTTTTCCGACTTTACTTCGCCATCAGAGAGTTGTTTGAGTTTATTTTCGTGCTCAAATAACTTTCCAAACAACTTTGTGATATCCAAAATATCGAGATTGTTTGAATCTTTTACAACGGTAAACTTTGGTTGCCACTCCCGGCACATAGATCTCAATATCTTATTAGACCAACTCTTGATGCCAATTGTTGGGTGAGAATATAGTGTAAGAAAATAGTATAGAGGGGGGGGGGGGGGGGGAGGTGAATAGACTTTTAAAAAATAAATTCAACCGATTCTTCGAAAATGAATTATTGGAGGTTTTCAAAGTATGCACACAAAAGTATTATAAAGCGAAATAAAGTGAATTATACTTGAATTGAATTTAAATCACGTAAGCACTTAATCAATCAATGTACAAATATCACAAATTGAATTAATGATGATACACAAGATATTTAATTGATACCAGAAATGATTATACAATGATTCAATTTTAGAATTATAATAAAACCTAATCTTAAGCAATAAATGGTTATCAATGCAATAAATGATAAAATACTCAATGAGTGGAAAAACCTAGGCATGCAATATACTACGAAATTTAAATGCAAGAGTAAAAGGTAGACAGATGACCCAAGGATTTATAGTGCTTTGAATATGTCGTCCCCGCGCTAGTCTACGTGCACTCTTCAATAATTTCTCATCGAAACCTGCATAATTCCATTATGTTGACAAATATTCCAAGAGTTCATACAATCACTTATCCATAATAATGCTGAAGAAAATAAAACTTCAATTCTAGATGTTGAGTTGTATACAACTTCATGCTAAACTCTTCTACTCCAAGCCTTCGTCTATAACAATCAACCCTTTGATCCCACTTATTCATTGAGCGGTGAATTTTCTGAAGATTCGAGAAGAACTCTGCCTTATCTGTAGCCTTCCCTACAATCAGCACTAAGGCAATCTGGAGAGAAGAATCTATTTCTTTTCACATTGGAATTTGTTAGCACCAATGACAAATCCTCAATATTGCAAGTAGCGGTGGAAAAGCAGAAT